GTCACAACCAACCGCTTCGTAAAATAGATTACCGAGGCAGTCATCTTAAGACAACCGCCTCCAAAAATAGTTTATATTCGAAGGCGGTCGTCTTATAACAACTGCCTCCGTAAATCTATTTTCAGAGGCGGTTACGCTATAAGGCCGCCTCCATAAATAATGGCCCAGCAGACAGCCCATCTCGGCCTGATATCGCGCTGATTGTATATATACCTGAGTTTTAGGGTTTCACCTGCATAGTCGCCCTCACCAGACGCGCCCCGAACTCCTCAGACACGCCCCTCCCCTCGCGCTCCCCATCCCGCTGCCCCTCCCACTCCCCCACCGTGCTCCTCCCACTCCCTTAGCGGCTCCTCCCTCTCCCTCTCCCTCTCCCTCTCCTCTCCATCTCCCTCACTCTCTCCGGTGGCGAGACTACGCGGTGTCGCACCGCCGCCGGCGCGGCGGCGTGGGGCCATGCGGCGTGTGGCGCGGGGGCGTGGGGCTACGTGGTGGCGCGCCGGCGGCGGCACGGGGTCGTGGCGCCGGGCGGTCGTGAGGCGCGCGGTGGCGCGGTGCTGGGTGGCGCGTGGAGGTAGGTCAGCTCTCACCATCTCCCTCTCTCTTCCTCTCTTTGTCTCCTCACTCTTCCCTCTCTTTGCAGATCTGGAGCCGGTGAGCAGCGCCCCCGATCAGGCGAGCGGGTCGGCTCCTGCTCCGACCGCGCTCGGATCCGGCGTGGAGGCGAGGTGGAGGCCGGCGTGGAGGCGAGCAACTGGCGGATCCAGAGCAGGGGGGCAGGGGCCAGCGGATCTAGCGAGGAGGTGAGGAGGAGGCCAGCATGGAGGCAACGGCGGCATCCTGCATCGCCGGATCTGGCTAGTGGGCTCAGGAACGGGCTCGCCGGCGGCCTCGGGATTTTTTTATTTTTTTATCGATTAACCGAGGCGGGCGTTGTAAGAAGCCCGCCTCGGTTAATAGGTTAACCGAGGCGGGCAAGGCAACCGCCTCCGTTATTCACGGATTAACCGTGACCTTTCTAAGGAGGCGGTTGCCTTTGCCCGCCTCGGATAATGAAAAACGTCTGCCTCGGTTAAGATTAGTGTAGTAGTGATTTTTGCAAGCGGACGCTAGACCAGTTGGTCTGGCTGTGCGTGTTACACCCTGCCGGTCAGAGTTCGAACCCCTTCGGGGGTGAATTTGTTGGCCGAGGGAGGCGCAGTTTATCTGCGCGTTGAAAAAATCCCCTTTTTGCCCCACATCAAAGCACAGGTCTAAGGCCAGCCTAGTCTCACGGGAGCTACGGTGCCACTGTGTATGGGTGGGGCAGATGTTCGAGGGTTTTCTCGACCAGCGTGAGAAGGTCTTATTCTTAAGCACAATGACCGGGGACTGTCTTACCCCCGCGGGTCGAGTTTTTTTTTTCATCGTTTGGGGATTTCTTATTTTTTACCTTTTCCAAAAAAATATTTAAAAATAATACATATAATAAAATTTATGAAAAAGTATCTTAAAAGTTATTTCAAAATCTAACCCTTTTGGCCGTCACAACTCACAAGCGTTGGCACAATCTATCACAGTGGTGAAACACGCGGCTCCAGCAACGCGTATACAGCTCTCGCCTGCCGCGCCACCTCTTGGCATGGCAGGTGACTTCTGTAATGTCAAGTGCTATATATTTTCAGAAATATATCTAATTCCAAAGTATGTTCTTATATGTTATTGCTATGACAGGTCATTTAGCTTTGGAAAATGTTAAAAACTTTGTTGTACTTTTCAAACCACTAAATAAAATAGAACATCTACTTAAATTTGGTACAAAAGACCTAAGAGAGATAAAAAAAAAAGAAATATGTATTCTATTTTACTATCCTAAATAATGCAAGCTTGTATATCTTCATAAACTATTCAGTTCCCAAATGTACCAAGTGTTGAGAAATTGGTGTCTTGACCTTAGACTCTGACTTCTTTGGATGTGGCACCAACCTTGTTGATACCACTTCTTTTATGGACTCTAATGTTAATGTCAATGTGAATTAGGTCTTATTGTTTTCTTTTCGCGACATGCTTAGGCATGTATTTCATTTAGTGGGTGTCTTATTTGCAGTAGTGTGGATATGAAGTTAATAGAAGAATTGGTATCACACAAGTTTGATGTCACATCCGAAGAAGTCAAAGTTGGCTAGGGCACTAATTTCCCAACCAAACCATTTTGGGAATTGAATATTTGTATGCAAGTTGGTATATATGTTAGCAAAATAAATGTATATTTCCTATTCTTCATATCTCTGTTAGTTTTTTATTAAAGTTGAGTAATTATTCTACTTTAGTTCGTGGCATGAAAATGCAAAATGTTTCTAAAAATTTCAAAGCCAAATGACCCGCTGTAGAAATAATATATAGGCTACTCTTGAATTAGATTTTTCATAACATATAGCATTTGGCATTGCTCAAATCACTAAAATGTAATGTTAATACTATATTAAACACATGTGTCAAGTTTTGTGGATTGCAGAGGCTAACTACTAGTTTATTTAGAGGGAAGAAAACGCTAACGGAAAGAGGCGACAACAGCCCTGCCATGCCAAAGGGGGTGGCACGACAAGTGGGAGCTGACGTGGGTGCAACAAGAGCTATCATTGTGGGTACATCTTAGGAGCTGGCAGATGTGTCGCTCCAATGTAGGCCTTGAGGAAAAACTCGTAACTCGTAACTCGCTAGCTCGCTCAACTCGCTCGTTAGTGGCTCGGCTTAAGCTTAGCTCGTTTGAATTTTTAATTAACGAATCAGCTCGAGCCAGCTCGGCTATTTAATGAGTCAGCTCGAGCCAGCTCGCGAGCCACTCGCGAGCCAAAATGAGCCAGCTCGCGAGCCACTTGTGAGCCAAAACGAGCCAAGGTAATTCACATGGCAACAACTGCAATCGACCCATATATCCTTCGGCCCAGCCTAATACAACTTTAAGCAGGCCATATATCCCTCTTCTTGTGGCCCAACACGTTAAACACTAAAAACCTAAACCAATAGACCACGTGCCCCAACCCAGTCACCCCACCGCCTTAAGCCACGGCATCATGTTCACGTGAGACGAGTCCAAAATTCATATGTATTTTGTTTATTCCATTTTAAATATGCATATGATGTGTTTGTTGTTAACTTACGGTTATAATCTCTATGTACTGTATTTTTATGCTTTGACTCGCTGAGTCAATCGAGCTCGCTGACAAGCCGAGCCGAGCTAGTCTTCTGTCTCGTTAGTATAATGAACTATAACGAGCCAAGCCATAACGAGCTGAGCTAGCTCGATATCCAGCCCTATTCCAATGCATGTGGTGCAGCAAGTCTTGTCGTGGCACACATACGTGACAAAAAAAGGTTAGATCTGAAAATATATTTTTTAGGATAGATTATTTTGATAATATTATTCCAAAAAGTTTAAAAATAAGGTACTCCAAGAGTCCATGTTTGGACTTCGGCTGTTCTTTCCTTTTGCACACCAACAAAAAGCTTGGAACTAGATCAACCCCCTTTCTGACGAATTAGACACTTTTCACTAAATATTTTTATAATGTTTTCAATAAAAACATTTTATCCATAATTCTCAAAATAACTTTTCAACAAATATTTTGAAAAGAACTCGCATTATCCCCAATAGAATTTCAAAAAGAATTTGTATGCAAGTTGGTATTGTATACATTAGCAAAATAGATGTATATTTCTTATTCTTCATCTCTGTTAGTTTTTTATTATGGTTGAGTAATTATTCTATTTTATTTAGTGGTTTGAAAATGCAAAAAGTTTCTAATTTTTCTAAAGCCAAATGACCCGTTGTAGCAAATGATATATATGTTACTTTGGAATTAGATTTTTCATAACATATAGCACTTGGCATTGCTCAAATCACTAAAATGTAATGTTAATACTATATTAAACACACGTGTGAGTTTCGTGGAATGTAGAGTCTAACTACTAATTTATTTAGAGGGAAGAAAACACTAACGGGAAGAGGCGACAACAGCCCTGCCACGCCAAAGGGGGTGGCACGACAAGCGGGAGTTGAAGTTGGTGCGACAAGAGCCATCATTGTGAGTACATCTTACGAGCTCGCAGATTTGTCGCTCCAATGCACCTGATGCGGCAAGTCTTGTCGTGGCACGCGGACACGACAAAAAAGCGTTAGATCTAAAAATATATTTTTAGGATGGATATTTTTTTTGAAAATGATATTTTAAAAGTTTAAAAATAAAAAAATACACATTTGCTGGTCATCATTGTTCTCGGTAGCTAGGTACTCCCGGAGTCCCTGTTTGCACTTCGGCTGTTCTTTCCTTTTTGCACACAAACAAAAAGCTTAGAACTAAATCAACCCCCTTTAGGACGATTTAGACACTTTTCACTAAATATTTTTTATAATAGTTGCAAAAAAATATTTTGTCCATGATTCTCAAAATAACGTCTCAACAAATATTTCGAAAAGAACTTGCATTGTCCTAATAAAATTTCATCTAGAATTTCAAAAAAAAAAAAGCAGAGAACAAACAGAGATGGGCAGAAAATGGCGAGCATACAGATGGTATATATCCACCTATAATGAAATTTGATAATCACTCTGTTTAAAGAGTTTAACCAGCACGAACTTGCATTGGAGCGTGTATTTTGAGTCGGACGGAGGCAGAAGGGGATCACGATACCTGCTGGTGAATCTGCCAGCAGCCAGCAGCGCAGTTGTAGTTGCAGCAGTAAATTTTTGACGATTACTTATATGGTAGCAGCAAATTCTTTTCCATTAGCAATTTAGCATCGACACCGAGGATACATTAGCGAAGCGAATCAATCCGGCGCTTCAATTCAAACCCCCCCCCCCGCATCTGCCATTTATCACAACTCTACCCTACACAATACACACACGAATGCCGAACGAATTGATGCAGCAGCTGAGCTAGCTTCCAACTCCGTCGAGGCCGCGCTGCCGTCACGGCCGGGCGGGCGGCGCGGGGTGAGGCTCTGTCTCTGTCTCTGTCTCAGCACGCGTAGTAGTCAACGAGCTCGTCGAGGGACTCCGGCTGCGGGTCGGCGTTCTCCAGCATCCACAGCAGGTGCTCGAACAGGACGACCTCGCAGCCGACGACGGTGGTACCCGCTGCTCCCCCGGTGGCGCCGCCGCCGGTGCGGTCGACGAGGGTCTGGAACAGCGGGTGGCTCACCAGCTCCTGGGCGATGAGGTACCGGCGGCGCGACCTGCCGACGTACACCGGGTGCAGGCCCTTGGGCACCTCGTCCGCGCCGTGGAACGACGCGCCGCGGCCGCGCGCGCCGCCGCCGTCGTCCTCGACGCGGCCCGGCGACGGCGCGCGGGCGATGCGGCTGGACGAGTGCCACCTCTTGATCATGCACCGGAGCTTGGTCAGCCCGCCCTTCGCCATTGCCTCGGCTCGGTGGCTCGGCGGCCTCTTTCTTCGATGGACGCGGCGAATGGAGCGGAGGGAGAGAGGGAGAGTTGGAGGAAGGAAGACGGTGGTGATGGACTCACGATAACGAGGAAGGCAGGGGAGGCGACGGGGCTGCCTGCATATATAATCGGGAGGGGTTGAAGAGGTGGGGCGTGGGGACCGCATGTCGGCGAGAGGTGGAGAGCCTGCCTGCAGCCGCTAAGCAGGCGACAGTGCAGCGGCAGCTGGCCGGGTTGTTATGCCCGGGGGGCAGCTGTCAGCTGGGGGACTGGACTGCCCACTGCCCGGAGCAGAGCAGAGAACGTTAGCCTGGTGCCTGCCCCGGCTTTCCTCTGCCCGGAGCAGAGCGGAGAACAGAGCCTTTTTCTCAGCAGGAATTTACAGAGGTTTAAACTGCATCCAAATGTGTAAATTACTCCTTCCCTACATATCGGTCGCTTTTTTTCCATACCGTAAGTTTAACTGAATTTACAGAGAATTGGTACAATATTTATATCTCTAAATAAATTTATTATAAAAATAGATTTAATAATCTATCTAATGATATTAATTTTATACCACAAATATTAATATTATATATATATATTCAAAGTTGTTTCTCAAAAACCAAAAACAACAGTTATTTAGAGACTGAGGGAGTTCGTTACGATGAAAAATTACTGTCCCAGGAGAATAATTGGGAAGTAATAACCGTGGAGGTGGCTGCATGACAAGCCGGTGTACAATATAAGGATACTCCCACGGTCCTTAAAAAATACAATTATTATAAATCGTTTGAACTTTTCTTACACATAGTTTTTATTATATATCTAGACATATGTTATATCTATATACAAAGCAAAATTAGCGTACCAATAAAAATTAAAGCGAATTATAATTTGGAACGGAATGAGTAGGTTTTACATAAGTCAAACTATTTTGAGTTTAACTATTTTTTAAGAAAATAAACACTTCTATCTCCGGTTAAATTTAGTATGAAAATATATTTCATAATCAATCTAATAGTACTTATTCGATATCATTAATGTTTGTAACTTTTTATATATATTCGGTTAAACTTAAAATTATTTCATTTATCGAGAATAAGAATTGCATTTTTTTGGACATGGATTTTTTTTGGCATGTTCCGTTGCTGCTGGGGTTCTGCCTGTGTGGCTGTACAGTGTACACCGTGCTACGGCTTAGGCCCTATTTAGTTCCAAAAAATTTTACCCCAAAGTGTTACATCGAATCTTGCGGCATATGCATGGAGTACTAAATATAGACGAAAAAAAACTAATTGCACAGTTGGGTGAGAAATCGCGAGACGAAACTTTCGAACCTAATTAGTCCATAATTAAACACTAATTGCCAAATATAAACGAAAGTGCTACAGTAGCCGAAAAAAAATCGCCAAACTAAACGCGCCCTTGCTATGCGTGAACCTGCAGGATCGAGGAAAGAAGACAGCTGCTGCTCTGCAAATATATAGCAGTAGTAGAGTATAGTAGAGCGACTTCCTCGTAGGACCGAAGCACAAAAAACGTGGCCGACTGGGGCATGCAAGCTGTGCTCGTACTGCTACGCGCCTACGCCCTGCTCCTACTACAAAACGCCATGGACCCCAGGCAACGTGACTTATAAGTCGGCTGATGCGGTTTTATTGTGAGAGAAAAACAGTGTATTATGACTGATAAATATTGGCTGATACGATCAAACGAATATGGTGTAAATTTGACTGGACCAACCATATACTGAAATTATCAATTAGGCAAACTAACGTGTACCAGTAGCTTGAAATTGTTAGCCAGTTAGCCATGGGAAAAATTGAGTTCACTTACTGCCCATCAATCCTTGCTCTAACATAACATAGAACTGGCCTATCAATCTGTGTTGTAGCACAGTGTAGAAATTTATGTTACAAAAGCGTTACAAGTTTCATGGATAACTTTAAAAACATATAGCTAATCAAAACTATTTATTCACTCTTTATTTCCTATCACAGCCCCAATTTAGATAGGTACAATGTAATCTTGACTTAGTTGGGATGAAATTGTCAATTAATTTATATGTGTTTTATTATTCACATGCATATCAGCATATCTATAGTATTTTAATATATATTTAGTTGAAATTTTAGCTTAAATTATGTCTTAGATGACATTGATTAATTGACAATTAACATTGTAAGAGAACTTAAGGGTTAATATCTACTCCCTTCATCCCTGAATGATTTCTTAGAGTTGTCATAAGTCAAACTTTTTAAGTTTGACCGAATTTATAAGAAAGAACATCAAGATTTATAGCACCGAATTAATATCATTAGAACACAATGAAATATATTTCATATTTTGTTCATTTGATGTCATAAATATTAGAAATTTTTTACAATAATTGGGAAAAAATTCGATGGCTGACATCGACCGAGAGCGGCCAATCCAACGGCAACAAAGGTCGGAGGCAACGGGAGGCAATGGGACGGAGGCAACAAGAGGCGATTGCTGTGTCTATGATCAGTGGGCCATATGCGCAAAAATCGCTTTCCATTGCCTCCGCAAATGTGGGGATTAGGACTGGGCGGTAATTTCATTCTCGTAGTTTTTTTTTGATAAAGGGTAAAACGGTAACTCTATAAATGCAAAAATAATGTTTTGAGTAATATAGTTAGGATGTATAATACAATTAATATAGTTAGTTAAATGAATATGTCGTTTACTTCTTCTAGGGTTTCACCGCCGCTGTCCCGCGAGCCGCCGATGGGAGGAGGCCGGGCGCAGGGCAACGGGTCACCCCTACCCCCTCGTTCCTCCTCGCCGTCATCCGCTCGGGCGTCGCCCTCCTCCTCGCCATACTCCGCTCGGGCGCCGCCCTCGGCGTTCGTCCATGGTGGAGCAAGAGGAGGCAGGAGAGGATGGGGGCCATGAAACCTAGATCCAAGCGCGCCATGAGGAGGAGGCACCGGCGCCGACACCGACGCTAGTGCTGGCATGCTGCACATGACTAGGGGCAGGTTCGGCATCACGCGCCTCGCGCTGGCCCCGCCGGCGCCGCTGGCCATCGTGCGCACCGCCGAGGAAGCGGACGCGGGCGCTCCGCCACCCACGTGGCCACGCTCTTGGTGGTGAACTGCGGCGACGCGTCCCTCGCGGCTGACCTCATTGCACGCTTCTCGAGCACTTTACCCGACGCCCAGGTTGGTTTCTCGCTGCTGCAAGTTCATGTCTTTTGATTCTTAGTTCAGAGAATATCGTAACTACTAGAGTAGTTCATACAAAGGAAATATGCTTAGTACACAAAGGAAATATGCTTAGTACCCAGGTTTGATTCTTAGTACCCAAAGGAAATATGCTCGATTTCTCCATATGAAAGAGTAGTGAATGGAATCAGAATGAACACAAACCAAATTGATTCGAGGTTTCATCATGTGATCGGATTACTGGGGAGTTGGTACCTCGAGGCTAGCCTCGACCGGAGGGCGGCGAGGGTGCGCTGAATCCGGCGGACTCGGCGAAAGCGCGCGACAAAGCGACCACCGCGGCCCCTCGCCTTTGAGGGGCGGGGGCAGCAACCTGGCTGGGCCACCGTCGTCATTTAGAGGCTCCAGCCGGCCCGGCTAGAGGGAGGAGAGAGCAGGGCGTGATCGCTAGGGTAAGAGCGAGGCGGTCTGGACGATGGCAGGCCGAGCCGCCTGTTGTCTGCAGGCGGGCGGCGGCGGCTTTGGTGAACGCGTCACGAGGGTTGGGCGTCAGGCGATGCCGAAAAGTCAGAGGCGAGTCGGGACGATTGCTTGCCAGCGCGGATCGGGCAGCAGCGCAAGAATTGGGCATTGTCATGCGACGAGGCTCGATGGCGGCTAGAGGAGGGAGAGAGCGAGACAATGATCGCTAGGGTAAGAGCAGAGGCGGTGTGGGCGATGGCGGCGTAAGCAGCGCCGCGCGCGTCTTGGCGCGGCGGCGGCGGTGGCGGCTTTGGTGAACGCGTCACGTAGGGTTGGGCGCGTCGGGCGATGCCGAGTCGTAGGCGAGTCGACGACGACTTCGGCCGGGTATGGATCGGGGAGGGGCGCGGCGAGTAGCGATAGGCACGTGAAATGACCAACATACCCTTTAGGATGATAATTAATATTTTATGGTGGCAATGGGAGGCAATGCGAGGCAATTTCAAGTACTGTAAAAGGGCTCTAAATATTATTGTATTTTTCTATAAATGTGGTCAAAATTAAAAAAAATAACTCTAGAAATTGATTTATTCAAGGATGGAGATAGTACTTCATTTTGTATGCCTTTGCCCTAATCAAAATATGCTTGACATTTTGGGATGAACGGAATAGGTATCAATTACTCTAAAATTCCCAACGTCTTATATTTCACAAAAAGAACTTGTAAAATAATTTGAGGAGGACATCATGATGATGTAAATGCAGAATATGACAAATAAACAAAGGACACTAACGTCGTCCCTGTGAATTAATTGGAAAATTTCGATGTCAAAGCGCCGCAATCTCAACATTAGGGTGTCGTCACGGAGGCCTGAAACACCACAATCCACAATAATATGTTAGCTGCATACAACTTAAAAACCAAAATAGACAAATGGGTTACAGTTCTTTTCTTGGACAACGACATATGCTGATCAAACAAATTAATATTAGGAGAGGACATGACAATCCTACTCCCTCCATGCCAAAAGATGGAGCTTCTTTCGACAAAGAAACCAAACTTCACAAAATTTGACAAATAATTAGTCAATATTTGCACGTTTATTTAGTAAATAAAAGTTGCATGAATGGATTCACATTCCACACATCTTTCAATATGGATTCACATTCCAGACATCTTTCAATACAAATTAGTTTCGTAGCAATTGATGGTCAAAGTATATTTATATTAAGCTCCATTTCGAACCACACTTTCTACGGCGACGGCCAAGGAAATCAGGGCTCGCTCGATTCTAACCACCGCTGAATTGAACTAGCGAGCAAATTTTAGGTATGG